GTTTAGGGCCTTGGGCTTAGGGTGTATAGGGCTTCGGGCTCCGGGCTTAGCGTTTGGCCAACTGGCAGCAAGATTCAACACGATGGCTACAATTGCGGGCTTTGGGGGCCTTGGGCAAAGAGTCTAAGACTTTGGAGATTGAGAGAACCTCTGTGAGGCTGTGGGATCTCGGTAGATATGCGTTTGATGCCAGGGCCGTGCCGGGAGCTGCAAGCAGAAAGGTCATGTTTCTCCCGCCGGCAGCTCTAAAAGCCCTGAAACGCCAAACTGCGCGCTTACCCGACACCTTGCATCTAGGGGCCTTGATAGTTGGAATAGGGNNAGGGTTTAGGGTTTAGGGCAATACTTATGACTGATATGATTAGTGCAAACCTCTGAACCGTAAGCCCCCTCCCTCCATGAGGAAAAATGGATCCTAATACTTAATGTAGCGGCCTTCATAACTAGAATAGGCTTTGGGGTATGTGAAACTAGTCTAATATAATCAAGACCCCCAAAAACAGTGGAGGTAATTATTCAAGCCCCTACCTATGTTAGGTCCGCACAAAGGGGCCTGTTGATCAGACCAGTCTAGCCAGAACCCAACAAGCCATTAAAGGAACCCGTGAAGGAAACCCATAAGGTACAGAACCCTATAGCCTTGAAAGGATCTCTATGATGCCTTGAATTTTTTTCAATACAGGCCACTACAACCCCAAACCACTATTGTATCCGGACAGCAATGTTTTGTAAAACCTTTGAAGAACCCTTTTAGAATCCCTGGCTGCTATGTCCTACTGTTGATGGACAAAATTCTGCATGACCCAAATATAGTATAGTACCATAAATCCCATAGTTTAGGTACATAAGATCATGCAGGATTTTGTCCATCAGCCGTATGTCCTGCATTGAAGCGGCCTTGGCGGCATCAGTCAGCTTGCCCGGCAGCTCGATGATGGTGGCGTTCCTTCATAGAAAACTTCGCTGCCAACAAGGGTTTGAGCCTAAAACCTTAATATCATATAATACAACATTACAAACTAACAGAATAGAATACAATAGATACGCTGCAATACACTGTACTAGACTATAATACAATAAAAAACCATACTATACAGTACAATACGATACCATGCAATGCAATACAATACAATGCACCGCTCCAGCTTCTTTTACAATGGCCAGATGAAGTACCAGGCTCTGCGTCTGCAATCCGCTCCGCCCGATCCCTTAAAGAACAAGGCGTGGAGAGAATGTATGCAGTAAGAAGTGCCCCCACATTGGGTGGGCTGGGAGGGTGAACTTGAAATGGTGCGGACAGCTTCACTTGTCGGCCCTGTGCATGCGCTTCCGCTATGCAACAACGTTCTGAGAACACTCATGCACCGCTCCAGCTTCTTTTACAATGGCCAGATGAAGTACCAAGCTCTGCGTCTGCAATCCGCTCCGCCCGATCCCTTAAAGAACAAGGCGTGGAGAGAATGTATGCAGTAAGAAGTGCCCATGGTAGCAAGCCCACACCACTCACCCACCATTTCCATGCTCCCGTAAAAGATGCACAGGGCCCCCAACTTAGCTTGCCTTCTGGTTCTGACCGAGCATGGTAGTTCCATACTGCTCAAATCGCCGAGCCATCACAGCGACCTCAGCATTGTAAAAAGCTTTGGCAATGACAGCACACATAGCAGGCGGATATGGTTCGGCCCATCTGCTTCGCCATTGCCCACTTGCAGTGTGCCCGTGTAAAGGTACGTGCGGCTTGCCAGAGTAGTCACACATTCGCTTGGAGCGGCACTTGTGAGTGCCCAATGTTGCCAGATCAAGATGCACGCCGAGGAAAGCTGTTGGTTTTTTGAAGCGGCGTCCCCACGCGCGGTAATGTGTAACCACACGTGAAAAGTACGGCCTGCGGAGCAACTGCGCTATGGGGAAGCACAACCACAAGCGTGAGTGAGCGGGGTTCTCTAGAGTGGCGGGGATGCGCAAACGCCAGCACAAAGTCAAGACTTTTGCAGAAAAGCGCATCCAAAAGTTGCCAAGTTCAACTTTCATCTGGTCAGCTGGGCATAGTCCGACAAGGCCCAAAGGTCGAGCGTCACTTCGCAGGGGTGGCGGCCCAGGCGGTAGGTCGCGGGCTTTGCTGAAGCTCTCACAAGGCGTACCAAGGTGCACCCCAGCAATAGCGCCCGACCGAATCCAGTTGAAAATCTTTTGGCGATTATACGGACTGCGGAGGTCGTATTCAGCTCCATGGCAAATATCCCACATGAGCACAAGCCCCCCGCACTGCTGATGCCAAGCTTTGCTCAACGAGCCTGTGCCAGAGAAGAGCTCAACATACACTCGCATGTGAGGCAGCTTGTGAATCTTCAACGCAAGCTCAACACCGTGGACTGAATGCGACTGCTTGCTTCGACTGCTCGCTTCAAGGTGGGCTAGGGCAGAGCTTGCAACTGTTGCGTCACCCTGCCGCCCTTCTCGTAGCGTCGCACACTGTTGAAGCTGCGCCACCTTCCCCGCTTCTGTACTTCTTGAAGAGAACGAGCTCCTGATAGGACATCGCGGCTGGGGCCTCCATGACACAGCCGGTAAGGATGCGGGTCGCCAATCGCTGCCTCCATGCCGAACCGATCGCTCACCGACCTCATGAAGCCTCGCACTGTCTCCAGCCCCACGGAAAACATCAGTTCCAGGTGTCCTCGATGCCCTAAACGTAGCAGCCGGTAGCTGGCTTGAGCAATCCACTGAATGTGGGTCAAATCGAACAGCACCGACTCGTCGAACTCTCCGGTTTTGGAGGGCACTTCGAACTCTGCAGGATGCAGGATGAGCGACCACATCTGGACGCCTCCCACACCTCCCCGGGCCGAAGGTAGGTGACAAAGGCCAGTAGCATGTACAACGCCACCTCGATGAGGCCCCGGTTTATTGCTTCCATCGCCATGAGACACACGACCTCCCACGGCAACGGGAGTCTCGACTTTGGCGGGCCCAGGCGCTTCCATCCTGCCAGTGTTTGTTTGGCCTTTGGCAACCCAGTCTTCAAGCCCGGGAGGTGGGGCTGGTAGAACTGCACAGCGGCGATCAAGTACTGGCCCTGGCTGAGGTCCTCCCCCTCGTCGAAGAAATCCTCGAGAACCTGGCTCAACGGCAGGTCCAATTCGCTGCCCTCGTACTTTCTGCCGCAGTCCAGTCCCGCCGCCATGCACAACCGCCTCCACAGCTTGCTGTACCTGTCCCGGCATGCTGGGCTGACTGAGGCTTCCGCCAATGTCCCGAAGTCCTTTCTCATCTTTGCTCTCGCTTTGGCGCGAGCTCGTTTCACCACTGCTTGAGTCGGCGCGGCGACCCTGCTGGTCATCTTTGGAGATGACGCCGTCCGGGGAGTAGAGCTCTTCGCCTTGGTCTGGGGCATGTGAATGTGCTTGTGGATCACCATTATTTGCTCCAGGCCTCACGATCCCCGGGACGGCCCGTCTGCAGGGTTGAGCTCGGAAGGTATAAATCTATACTGTATGCTGACTCCCGCACATAGGCAAAGGCAGGCGAGTTGTTGTGTCACTCGCCTCATCCCAAACGTTCGGCCTCGCCCACGGTCGAGAGCACAAATGGCAGCGGTCGAATCAGAGAGGATGAGATGCCGCTTCCCAAAAGAAGAGTGTTGGCGAAGGATGTGTTTGACTGCGTGCAAAGAGGCTCTCCCTTCCAACACAGGCATCCCTTCTTGTCTCTTCCACCGATAACGGCCAATGACTTTCCAACTTTTATCAACCGTCTTGGCTTGAACTGGAACGAATCTCTCACACAGCTGCATGCCTTCTACCACTGACAGAGGCAAAGCGCCAGCGCTCCGAGAACCTCCCGAGCTGTCGCACCTCATTCTCATCAAAGGTAGCGGCGACCGCGCCAAGCCCCCAGTCGGAGGCGTCGACGGCAATGACCTCCGATGACCACGGTATCCCCAAATCTCTCCAAAGCAGAGGCACTATGCATGTCCAGATAGTCAGCTCCCTTCGTACACTAGGCCAAATTTTGTGTGGGAACGTATAATGGCACCGAATGAAGGTGTAGGACTCGCCGGACACCGACAAAGCTTCCCGACGACCTAAGGCAAGAAATGTGGCACGCCCCAGCACCTTTTCGAGGTGGTGGCCCGAGCAGGACCCTCGCTTCAACAGGTGCCGAATGGCGTAAATAAGACGCCAAACCCGATGGGACAGGGGCCGCAGCTTCTTGCCCTCAAAACACCAACCAAGGACTTTGATGTTGCCCTGACCGGTCTCGACCTCGTGTACGACTCTCTCAGAGCCTGAACCCCTGCTGCTGCCAAAGATTGTACCTCCGTTTTGGAGGTACCGAGGCATACAAAGTTGTCGACATATTCAAGGCGCATGCACTGTGGTGATGGCACCGCTGCCCGGTCTTCAAGACTATTGCTTGCAGTAGCCCCAACGCTTGAAACGATCTTTTGATGAATAGTTTGACACCACCACAACGAGTGACTCCAACCCATCGGTAACACTTTCAAGCGAGGATGCAATAGATGTGTGGAGCGGACGGGCCGCCCCCCCATCGTTCTCACTTCCATGTCTGCAGCCGTCACGGTCCGCATGCCGAAGTATGGTCTCAACGCTGGCGGCAACTCAAAGTGATAGAAAGCATCTTTTAAGTCCGCTGTTGCGATGTGGAGTTCCTCCGCGCTCCCACCAAGGTCGATCCGGCTCAGCACTTCCGCAGTCGCCAGGTGCACCTTGTCGGGGACAACAAACCACTCATTGGACCGCCGACAGTCGATCACCATCCTCAAACGGCCATCTTTCTTCCTCGCGAAGAACATCTCGATCTTCTCCAAAGGGGCCGTCTCGGTCAGCTCCACCAAGCCACTCCGCACCAGGCGCCGCACGAACTCCACCTAGGTGCGGCGCTCAAGCAGCTTAGGATCAGAGTAGCACCTCGCCACCCCAGCCCGCCGCAAATTTAGCGAAACAACATCCTTACGCAAAAGCCGAGTTGAGATGAAATCCTCAACGACTCTCATCCCATCGTCTCCCAAAAGCACATCAAGGGGCACCGGTGGCACCTCCCCAGTAGGCAAACTCAGTAGACTGGGCTCGTATGAGGCGACCAGTGACGAGGTTTGGTCCTCCCCGTACCCGTCGAAGGCCTGAAGCTGCCGCAGCGCCTCTCGACCATCAAGCCCCGCAGTGGGAGCCCCCAAAAGTTGCACTGAATTCCGGATATGTTTCAAAGCCGCCAACTGTGACTGAGAAGGAGACGAAATATGCTCGAGCGTGCTGCCAACCTTCCCTCCACTGTACAAGGCATTCAGCCCACGCACACAGTCGGCCACCATGCCGTCCTGATGCAACCTCCGCTCCAACCTTCGTTTGGTGCGTCGAGCACCACAAAAGTCCTCCCGGATAGCCTCAACAACAGGAACAGGTAGCGGAAAAAGATCCCGGGGGACATCACGGTCATCCCGGGCGACAAAAGGAGTAAAGGTTGTTGCCCGCGAGGTACTCCCATCGCCCACGGGCGTCGGACTCCCTAGGGGTGCCCCCCACCTTTTTTCTTCGCGAGGTCGCGTTCCTCACGAGCTTTCCTCATGTTTTTCGCCAATTGAACATCTTTTTCTACCTCTTGCTTGACGTGCTCCAACAAGGAAGGGGCGATCATGAGGTGCCCGCCTGCCGCACAAGGGAACCGAAGGTATACTGTTCCTCCAGCGACAACTTGCCACCCACAGTCTTTCCTTCCAGTTCCCGGGCACGTTCTGAGTGGCTGTATTCAATTGTTTGGAGGCGTCGGAAGAGGAGCTCAACCCCGTAGCAGTTGCACGCATCTACTTGATCAACCAGCACCAATTGCCGAAGAACCATAGACATCTGGAAGTGCTCCTGAATGCCCCACGCGTTGCTATCAACCCGGCACAACTGGCGAAGCCTCTCATGATGGGCCTCGAAGCCCAAACCTTCAACTGCCAAGTAGTTAAGACACCACAAGGTCGTCCGTGGTCCGGTCAGCTTCCAGCCCATTTCTACCTCAGTCGAGGCGGCTACGACCTCCGCCAGAGGCCGTTCAGGTTGACCCAAAGCGTTGAAGACACGTGGCAAGATTCGTCCATCACAGCTCGCAGGCCTGCCGTTAAAAGCGGCCCGACCAGCTTCAGATGCACAAGCAGAAGAGCTCGCTCCCATCAGGCATGGTGTGGACAACTCGGCCCCCCGCCACGGCTGGAGCCGCGACTCCGTGTATTTGCTCTCCATACCGCACGTTGGCAGTTGCTTCCGCGGCCACCCACACCAAACCAAGCCCAGTCAGGTCCTGCGCCCCCGGTCCAATGTTGCCAGCCGCTCCTTGTACCTGAGGAGGGACTGCCACCGGCGCGGCCGCAGGAGCAGGAGCCACAGCCGCTCCACCCACTCTCGCCGCCGCCACCGCCGGAGGTCCAGCCCCACCACCGGGCACGGCCACGTGAGCGGGAACTCCTGCGGCTCCCAATCCACGACGCCGTAGTTCAGCATCAAGCTCCGTACGACCAAGCCTCATAAGGGCAGCATATTGCGCAGCCGTCATGGGGGCGAAGCCGTAAACCTGATTGGCAAAGACACCTCTGGCCAACCGCCCGTCTGGGGAGTGCCACATGTACTGCACATCTGGGTTGTGTCGGGCCAGTTCTTCCGTATATATGTCTTCATCAGGCGTAGCTATGACCCACTCATCACCCTGAACGTGCCCAAGGAGGAGCCGTGTATGTATAACTCCGGGATCACCATGGTACCGGAGATACACAATCTCCCCCGCCTGCATCACGAGCTGCTAATCACACTCTTCACCCGTCGGTAATCCGAAGGCCCTTTGGAGCCCCGTAGACTCCTTTGCCAGGCTTTCCTTTCACAGACAAAGTGAACTCCTGAAGCCCAGCGGCGTCCTTCTTAACTGAAACCCGAAACACCAGAGCTAGGTTGGTTGCCAGTAAAATCAGCACTCCCACCAATCCAAGCCACAGCCACGTACTATCACTCCCACTGGGCACCGGTGAGGCAACACTGCACTGACACACACACGGCCTCGTTTCAGGCTCACGGGATCCTGACTGAAGCCACATCCCTGCAATGAGGCTGGCTCCGGCGATCAGCGCATGCGAACTGTCCATGCTACAACCCTTTTGAACTTGAAATGGAGCGGACAGCTTCACTTGTCGGCCCTGTGCATGCGCTTCCGCTATGCAACAACGTTCTGAGAACACTCATGCAATACAATGCGACACAACATACTACAGTATCTCATCTAGCCAAACCTATTACCACAAAAGATAGTACAACATATCACAACATAAAATGGCATCATATATATATATATACAGGGAACAAAGTACAAGAATAGAATCTAAAAGAATACGATAGAAAATAATAAATTTGATGCCATATAGTGTATAAGGCAATATGATGTGATATGATATGCTATGATATGACCTGATCTCATATGATATGGTGTGATATTTTATGATATGAGATAGTATAGCATTAAAACCATAAAAACAAAACAGATAAACAAAACAACACATAATGCACCATACCATAATGTAGCATAGCATAACCCAGTATTATATAATAATACCGTAATGCACGATATGGGAAAATATAACACATCATAGCACAATATAACACGTTAGGGGATAATATAACACATCATAGCACAATATAACACGTTAGGGGATAATATAACACATAAAGCATAACATAACATGACATAGCATAACATAACGTAACATAACATCGTATAACAAAACAACCACAAGATTACACTGTCTCATATAGTATGCTTTAGTATTATCTACTCTAGTATAACCACCATCTGAGGTGCTGTGGAGCTGGAGCTTCCGTGGAATGTAGAGACGTGAAACCTTAGAACAGGGTTTGATGGTCTCGTATATTATAAGTTAGCTTAGAAAATAGAGATAATCAGGAACATAAATTGGCTCGAAAATATAGTCAGGAACCATGAGGATGAAAAGTATTGTCAGTACTGATTATTCGGGCTTCCCAAGCAGTCTCTGCAATTGGCTTTCACCCTCCACCCTACGTGTTAAAGCACTAGCACGCCCTTGAAGCCATATCCCGGCTGATACCCACAAAATCCAATACAAAATCCAATGTGAACGAGGCGCTTCAGGTTCCATACACTTCCCAAAACAGACAACTCTCTCAACACTGCGCTTCTGCCAGCAGCGACAAACAGCCTCTAAACCCTAAGGTAGCCATGATACATACCATGAAGCACTTTGATAGTAGCCATTATAAATACCCTTATAGATATCCTTAGTTCAACCATTGCAGACCCCTTTATAGAAACTTGAAGTCCGAAGAACCCAGTTGCAAGAAGATTCTGAAAAATGCGGGGATTTGCCTCCCTTTGCCAGGACGCTCGCCCTCCCGTAAGATCTCCACCCACTGGCCGACCGCGTAGTCCAAACTTAGAGCACAACAGGATTTAGGGCTTAGGGTTAGGATGGATTTGAGCTTAAGATTTCGTGTAGTAGCTTTAACAGGGCTTCGCATTTGAGCTTGTGGGGGCGTATAAAGGGGATACTCAGGGGATATCTAAGGGTTGCGAGCATGTCCTGTTAAGGGGGAAATGCAGGCTTGGGAGTCTTTCGGGGTTAGGAGTTTCTGGGGTTCTAGGGGTATTTTAAGGTTTAGGGTCGTACGGATGTTAAGGGCTATTCAGTGTTTAGTGGCTTTTGGGGTTTTAGTGGTGTTTCGGGTTTAGGGGCCAGATGTTGGGGCTTGGGGTTTTATCAGCGATTGCGAGCTGAGGGCGGAGCTTTGTCATAAAGAAAAGGATAATAGCATGGGAAGAGCTTGCAGTAAGGTTTCTTCTTGTTTGTAAGTTGGCAGCTAAGCCCCTCGCAAGCTTCTTCTACTCCTGTCTTCTGCCGGCTGAGAATCTTAGAAGCAAACGAAGAACACTTGGTGAGTCCTCCCTCGGAGTCTTAGAGCCATAAGAATAAACGAACAAGTCCTGAGAACGTCGAAGGATTCTGCCAATCATGACCGTCTACAATCAACTGGTTGGGTGTTAACGATTGGGTCCGGCTTTTGCAGACGCTTTGCGTCAGAGTACCTAAGCTACCGTAGAAGCTTATCTAGATAGCACAGGCTCCTTCACACCGTTCCATAATAAGGGCTCCAAAGTTGTAGGGATGTTGCAGGGTTTTCTATAGGGACTTACTACGTAGTAGTCCGTATTGTGGCATATTATGGTATATGATCATGCAGGAACTCTAAGGAATAAATCTGATATTCTACGCCGCTTTGTTACGTGCTGCGTTTGAAGGTTGCGTTGCCGCGGCAAAGCTGTAACAAGGTATTTGCTGAGGACGGCCACATCCCATCTCTCTTGATTCATATGCACTGCTCGAACCAAGCACCGCAGAAAGGCCCGAGACTACAAAATCATGCGCGGAGTGACGAGGGGGGCAAAACCAAAGGCCCAGCATGCTGACCCAACGAGTGGCGAGCCCCTACATGCCAGAACCCATACAGTTAGAAGAAAGCCAGATTCAGCTTTCGTCGTGGTGTGGCTGTCAGCTTCTCAAGCCCTTTACACACACCCCGTCAGAAAACCCGAGAATTGTTGGGAAACTCAGCCCTGGCGGGGCCACCGTTACACCCAGGACTTTGAGGCAGAAGAACGAAAAATCTATGCCAAGACCTACACCCACACAGCTTAACCCTTTCCGTACCCGAAGCCAGTCTGTGTGACATCCAAAACAACCTTCCTTTATCCATTCTTTATATATATATATATATATGCTCTCGGGTCCCGGGACCCCCCCCCACCATGCTATCCCCCCCTCCACCCCCCATGGTAACCACCCCCCTCACCCATACCGCTGCTCGTGAAACAACCATCCTTCCAGCTCTAAACTTTTTGACCGAGATGTGGCATTTGACATTCCACCAAAGTAAAACCCAATCCCCAAAACAGCACCAAAACACTGACTAAACCTTTTCGTAGCATCGTTACTTTCTCTTTGCTCAAAACAACTTGTAATCAGCAGCTTACTTCTTGGGCGTCGTCTCACGGCGCGGTCGAAAATCTCTGCTAAGATCGCGCCACTGCTCCCCCAGAGTTTGTGGTGGCGGCCCATCTTCCTTGATGTTGCTTACGTGCAACCACCCACACCATCCCTGCACTAAGCTTCCATGTACTCGTCGTATTGTTGTTCCTGTTCTTGACGTTTCCCGGAAACTGAACCCTAAACCCTAAACCCTAAACCCTAAACCCTAAACCCTAAACCCTAAACCCTATAAACCCTCCACCGCCGCCGCTATTCCGAGCCCAGGGCTACCCGCTGGGCTTCCTCGGAAGCGGCAGTGGGCAAAGGATTAAGCTAGGCGAGAGATTATGCAGGGCTTGGGGTTTAGGGTTTAGGGTTTAGGGTTTAGGGTTTAGGGTTTAGGGTTTAGGGTGAGAGATTATGCAGGGCTTGGGGTTTAAAAGGCTAAGGTAGGGTGCGGGCTGAGAGCCCCGCGTGTGAGCTACGAGCATTTGGACCACAAAGTCATAGCATGCTTTAGAATTTTGCGCGGTCAAGGCATGACAAGTCAAGGTTACGCCCGAGTAATCAACATTGAGGATGCTGGTCCGGCAAGCTGAGTTCAGACCTTAGCTTCTTTTCCGAGACTGGTCTTTCGGGAAAATGCCATCAGTTGTTTGAGAGCCTGGGTTGAAGTTCCCTTTGAAATTCCCCAAAGAATCCGTCAATCTCACGATGGGTCGACTGACCGGAATATGACTGTCAAAGGCAGCGAAGGTGAACCGGACTAGCACGGCGAAACTTCCGACAAGTGCCTCCAAAACCGCCGGACCCCGCCGTGTAATCGGCCTGCCAACCCTTCCCTGCAGAACGTCAGTGGCTGAAGGATGGCGCTAGAAACCCTAATTTAAAAGGCCGTTAAGCCCTAAACCCCAAACCTCTCCTCGACTTCTTCGGATCGTCCTTCTTGGAATCCTGCGCATGATTAGTTACCACGTAGGGCTTTTTCTTTATTTTGAGGCTTTGGATTTAAGTGCCCATGCGCTTCTGGCGAGTATCGTTGAAGAATTTGGTACTTTGGCTTGCCTGTTAAGTTGCACTCTCGAGGTTTTCAGCCATGCGTTCCTGCTTCCACAGAACCCAAACCAAACCGCCTTAGGGTCCGCGCTTAACAAAACCCTACGCCCGAAACCTTAAACCTTAAACCCAAACAGTCTTTTCAGCCCTGAAGCCTAAAGCCCCAACCTGTGGCCCCGACCCCCAAACACAAAACCCTGCACCCTCAACCCTAAACCCAATGAGGTCTACAACCGAAAATCTGCGCGGGGTATAGGTTTTTGCCACAGGCCACACATGTTTGAACCATGTGTGGGTTTCTCAAGTCGCTCAAGACATGTCTGAATCTGATTTTAATCCAACATTCGGACAACGAGCATGCCGGAAAGGGACACCCTCTGCAGGACACTCCACCCATGGCTACAGCAAGCAGACCCCCATCGGTAGAAACCTAATTCACGGAAAATGAACAACGGACACAGGAATAATACTATTGTGAGGCTATAAGTCGCTGAACCTACGGTAGCTCTACACGGCTCAAATACTGGGGATGCAGCTTGGGGTCTCAACTTCGGGTTAAAGGCTTAGGGTTTTGCGGGTGTTGGGCTTCGGGCTTTAGGGCTTA